CCTCTGGCACCCAGCCCAGGTTGTCCCAGGGGGACGCCGCAGCTGGGGAGGGAAGAACTGGGCCCCCACACAGCTCAGGCAGGCTCTGGGAGGGGCGGGGGAAAAAAAGATCAGGCTCCTTGCCACTTTTTTTTTGTTCTTCAGTTGAGATTGCCTGCATGGGCTGCTGCTGGGTTGCATAGCCCCTGAGCTACGTGGGGCCCAGTGCTTCCCTTCATGGCTGCAGTCCCCTTGGGACTGCCTGGGCTGGCTACCAACAGGTGGCACTTTGTAAGGTAGCAAACTAAAACACCTCAGAGGTGTTTTATCTTGCTACGTTACAAAGCCATTTAAAGTGGAATATGCTGCCGAGCCTGCAGACAATAATGCCATTAAAACGGAATACTCTGCTAAACATGCAAACTGAAGAACCATTAAAGCAGAATACACCGCTGAGCGTGCAAACAGCAACACCATTAAAGGGATGCAAAAGGGCATTTAAGCCGCTTTAAAGGCCAATTTTGAGGTGTGTACAAAGGCTGGGAATTATCAGTAATGGAAAAGTTGCCCCATCAAGTTGATGTTCTGCAAGGCAGAAAGAGAAAAGATGATTACTTGGACATTTGTTAGAAATTTTTGGAATTTGTTAAGGAAGAGAATCACCTCCTGCCTCCAAACCAGAAAAAATTAGAAACTTTTCTGAATATTGAATGAAGTTCAAGCTCTATGAGCTAACATTTAAGAATAAATTTAAAAATTTAAAAGCAGAAATAAGCAGAAGGTTGTGAGACTTGTATTATGAAGAGTTCTAGGGAAAAACAAGGAGGGGGTGACTCATCAGGTAGAGATGAAGAAACAACAGCTTAACACCAACAGAAATATAATTATGAAGGACCTATCAGAGACTGAAAGGAAGAGAGGAAAAGAACACAATACTCCTGTGGATATTGACTTGAGTTAAGGCAGCACTGATGATGCAAGATACATATCTGTCTTTGTATATATTAGGGGATTGGATGGATCTTTATCTGTCAAATCTGTTATTTGATAGGTGGCATTAATTAATAATACAGAAGAGGCAAAGTTTTTGAGTAGATATGATGTTTTTAATTAGACCAACTAAGTAGTTGGAGAAAAGATCTTAGCAAACTTTTGGGCACAATCACCCTTCTTCAGGCATAGGAAGTCTCTGCTGGTCTGAGACTCCAAAGAATGAGAGACTTCCTATGCCTAAAGAAGGGTGATTGCACCTGAAAGCTTGCTAAGATATTTTTTCCAACTACTCAGTTGGTCTAATAAAAGGTATCACATCTACTCGAAGAACCTTGCCTGCCTATGTCATTAGACCAACACGGCTACAACCAAAAACTCAGCTAAATACAGAAAATGAATTCATTGCATATACGTTTGCTAACTGATGTCTTCTGTGTGAGCAACATTAAGTCATGTAATAAATGTTACATTTGTTCTTCAGGTCAAGCCAAAACAAGATCCCTGGCAGCAAAAGCTCTTGACAAAACTGAAACAGTGGAAAAAGGTGGATCTGCTGATGGATCTCCAGTCAAAGTTTTTAGAGGCAAGTGAACTGGAGACTCTAAGTGTATTATATTTTGTTCATTCAGTGACCATATTCAATAACACTGGAAAACCCAGAGAGAGACTGTTTTCTGCTTCAAGCAAGCTGTCTCAGCCTTATGTTCCAGACTATAAACTTCAGGCATGAGATACAGAAGCTGAACCTCTAGTACTGAGATGATGCTGTTTTTTTCTTTTGTCTTCACTGACTAGTGGGAAACTAGATAGGAAAGATTCAGAATACAGGAAATATGAATTTACAATTCCAACATCTAGCTTAGGTAGATCGTAGTTATTTACGTGTTTGGGCATGATTCTGAGATGACATACATCTGTTCTATACCCAGTGCCAATGGTGTTAGTTGTAACTTACACTATTGTAAACAGACGCTGAATTGAGCTTGTGAAGCTTAGAGGGAGAAACACATTAGAATAGTGACCTGGAACATAGAGGACCCAGGTTCTGTTTACTACCTCACCAAAAATTTTCTGTGCGAGTCACTGAGGTTCCTTCTTCCTTTGTTCCCTTTCTGTAAAATGGGGACACCGGTGTTCCCTGCCTGTCAGTGTTATCATCTGCATTAAAGAATGTCAAGTGCTCAGTTACTACAGCAGTGGGAATCATATCAAACCTGAAAAACTGATATGGAAGTTTCACTAAACAGAATAAAATTGCTGGCATTTATGGACATTTTTACATGTGTTCTGGGAGTGGGGGGTGGGGTGCTTTAATTAGAGTGGCTCTGAGAGCCACTCTAATTAAAACGCCTGGAGTGTCTTGTGTATCAGTGTCCCCGCACTTCAAAATGCTGGCAGGGGTGCTTTAACTAAATCTCATTGAACGAGCTTTAGTTAAAGTCCCCCTGCTGCCATTTTGAGGCGTGGGGACACTGATACAAGAGATGCGTAGGCTGCTGGCAACACCCTAATTAGCATTTTTCAGGAGACTCGATTGATTGAGTCTGCTCCAGCTCCTTGCACATCTACAGGCACCCATCAGGCCAGATATAGCCTGAGAAATAGCATCTCATAGCATCTAGTGCTGAAGCTTTTAGCTTCATCCAAAAGCTAGAAAAGGAATACTTATCTGAAATCTTAATTCATATAGTGTGTGCAGAGAATTTTTAACTGGAAAGGACTGTGGAAGATTCTCTCTCACAAAGTGGAACAAAAGAACAGGTGATTCTAAACCAGAAAAACAGTTAATGAAGTGGTCAATTAGGAGATTCCATGGTCCCCAAACTGATAAGTTTTGAGTCTCAGGTTTCATGTTTCTAACAGCAGTAAACATAATATGAAGCTACAGAAAAACAGGGGGGAAATATAAGCGTATAAGTTTTATTTATTAATAAACTTAAAACATTTCAAATTGAAAAAATAAGATGGATATTTGCCATATTTCCAGGAAGTAAATATAAGAAGATAAGAGCACCAGATGGCACTCACTGATAGCATTCAAATAAATAATACTGCACATGAAAGAGACTGGGGCTGTAGCTCACCTGGTGAATTAATGAAAATTCTGTTCTTGAATGGTGCTTGATTTTTTTTTTTTAAATTTCCCTCTATTATAGGCTTCTTCTGGATTCAGTCCTCATATCTCTATCTAATTCATTTTCAACAACAAAGTTTGATTTAATGATAAATACGAATTAATTTCCAAGGTCCGATCATTCAACCTCTTTATTCAAAAGAAATCATACATAACATTCTCTATAAAAATATTCTAGTCCCATAGCTATATTTTTACACTTAGGGGACAGGGGGAAAGAGACCATTTGCATGCAGGCAGTTGAAGCAATAGTGTTCATTTATAAAACAAAATGGGGGCACTAGGCCCCCTTGATAAACATCCTAGAACTCATCTCTGCTCTTCATAAAAGGATGGCTTTGCTTGTAGGCTTGCATTGTGAATCTTACTTGTTTTTGATATTGGATATGATTGAAATAAGGTATCCAGCATGGAGCAAGTGATGGAAGTTCTCCAGGAGCATGCAACATCAGTGCTAGAACCACATCCAGTGCCACTAAATTTTGTGACTTCGCGCTGCTCAGGGCAGAATAATTATGATCAAATCTGGAAGAGAATTTACAGCACCTCTGAACTCCATCAGGTATTTAGAAGGGAAAGGGGCAGCTGAAAGTTTCATTCCTGTGATGATCGTGAATTATTAACACATTTCACAAGTTTTCATGAGTTATAGTGAAGAGCCTCCAGATGAGATTTATTTCTCTGTGGTCTGCCCCAAGGTGGGAAATGAATCTATGCACAATGCATTGCTGCAAGGAAAATGGGAATTTTTTGGCAGTTTGGAAAAGCTGTTTTGCTCTTGAAATTTGGGAGCTTGATGACTTTTTTGGCAAGCTAATGACGAGTTCAAAACATTGTGCTTTCGTTCGTTTTTAAATGCCAGTATTTTATATCTTGCTGTTTTGATAAATTCTAAATTCAGATTTAAATTACTGAACTAGATTAAAAGGATCTGTTTAAAAGGATTAACAACACTCTTTTAACTGAGGGAGTTGCTTACGTCTCATCTTGTGTGTCAGTTCTAATCTTTCTTTGTGCTGTAGTTTATTAGCCTTAAATCATGTAAGAACCACTCCGTGGTGCATGCCTACACCTTGGAGGAGCCTTTCTAGTAGGCATCTGTCTGTCTTGCGAGACAATAGAATTACGCCAAGTGAGACATCAGCTCATTGAACAAAATCTTCACTTGAAAGCCAGAAGAAATATATGTGTGTGCAGAAGTCTGCCCAGACAGAACTCCAGGATTAACATCTCTGCTTGCACATGACCAGTTTTTTGGCTACTGAGCCTGAAGATGAGAGCAAAAAGGGTTTGTGGCTTATCTCAAAGGGGTGACCATGTTTAATCACATTCTGTTCAAACAATTGTCCAGCATGGCTTCAAGGTGACAGAGAACTTTGGCTATGATAAAACTAACTTTCTATCGCTGCTCTGAGTCCTGATGTTTTTTAACAGAGCCTTGGAAGGAGTTAAGGAAAGACAGATATTAATGAATTAGGCCTGACAGCTGCAAAGGGTGAGGCTGTGTGGTGATGCTGAAGAGTGCTTGATAACTAGCTGTGAAAAGAAGAAAAGCTATCCTGTGTTTTGATAGGCTATTGTAACAGCAGGAACCTTCTCAGGGCCAACTTCCCTTTGGCCTGCCCACCTGTTTCTAGGCCAACCACCTGCCTTCTTTCCTGCCATGCCTTGTTGTTAATTAATTAATTATCTTAATTAGGCAGGAGGCTGCTCATTTCTTGCCCTAATGCCAGTGGGTGCTATTTGTGGCTCCATACTTCCCCTACACCACAGGGTATGCCTCGCAGATGACATCCAGCTGTTACTCTTACTGGCCCCACACTGGGCCCCAGAATCCTCCTATCAGGACCCCTCCAAGATCCCTCATTCAGGCAGCCTACCCTGCCTTCACTCAGGCTAACTAGCTCCCTGAAACTATTTTCCTGTCTCGGGGGTGGTCCCCCTGGGACCTTTGGCCATACAGGTCCTGGCCTCACCTGCAAGGCCAGTCGGAAAACTCAGGCCCTCTTAGCTCTGGGCATCCCTTGCAGTGTACCTCTGGCCCTTTTGACCATCCTGGTCCTGGCCCCAGCATTGAGAGAGTACCCTTGACTGGTCAATCAGGTCAGAGTCTCTAGCCCCACTCTATCTCTGGGGTCTGCCTTCTAGCCCTATTAGCAGGTCACCCAACCAGTTGTGGGGGCTAAGGTACCCCAACCCACCTTTCACTGGGGTGGTAACTGGCCTGGAATTTCATGGGGGCTCCCACACCCCTGAGAGCCCCACCAGGCCACCCACTCCTGGCAGGGTGCAGTTTTAGGCCATCCCCTACAGCTCCTCCCTTACCTCCAGGTGATACCAGCAGCCAGGCAATGTTGCTGCCCACCTGCCAGCAGGGAACTGAATTGTTTATAAAGGCAGCCAGGGATCTAAAATGGCTGCTGCAATCAAGCACCTGCTGGCTGTTTGGCTTTGATCTTGAAGTGGCAGGCACCAACAATGCCTTGCCACAACCATCCTTCTGACTGGGGATCAGAGGGAAAAACTACATGGACCAGTGCCCCACTTTTTGGAAGGAAATATAAACTAACTTCCTTTCACTCTTACCTGAGAAGTTCAGAGAGAGAAATTGGGTCCCAATCAAGCTTTTCAAAATTTGTGGGAATTCATTTAACCTAGAGGAACCATTAAAGTCAGGCAGAAGGTAGGGTAGATTTTCACTTTATAGACTAACTAAACTGGAGAGACATAGCATAAAATTTTGTGAGCCTGAGCTCATTTCATTAGATACTGTGAAAGGACATGCATAGATCAGTGTATAAAATAAAGTGATTTGAGTACAAAAGATAGAAAGGGGGCTGTACAAGGAGAGACAAACAAGTAGTAAGCCCATAGGGACAAAGAAATCATAAAAGGGGTCATCCAGGTAATGGAATAAGGATTCACAGTCCCAGTTTAGACCATATTTATTATAGTCCAGTCAGTGGATGTTTTCTTGTCCTACAATTTTGCATTCAAGTTGCTTTTGAAAGTTCTGTTGTCTAAGAGCAACCACTCTGAGGTCAGCAACAGAATACCCAGGGAGTTTAAAGTGTGCTTTCACAGGCAGGTGTATCTTTCTGGAACTGAGTCAGATCAGTGTTCATTTATTTTTACATGTAGGGATCACCCCTCTGTCCAATGTAGACAGAAGAGGGGCACTGTAAGCAGGTGGCATTTGTGACATTAGTAGACTTGCAGGTGAATGAACCTCAGGTGTCATAATCTGGGTTGTTTGCTCCATTGATGATGTGGTCTGTATTGATGAGGGGGCACAGTTTGCATCTGGGTCCATTGCCAGCTTCGATGCTTCAGTGAGAATAAGAGTTAGGTGGTCTGTTGCTTGAGAGATGTCATTTGAGGTAGTAGGGCTGCCTGTAAACCAAGAAAGTTTTGTCCACCATGACTACCTTAAAACTGTCATCCTTTTCTATTGTGGAGACAAACCTGGAATCAAATACCCCCTGGTTCTTAGGTGGGTAACACTAGGAGGGGCTGGAGGTCATTAATCATGTGTCCAAGGTGTAAAAGCTGGGGCTGTAAGTGACCACTAGAGGGTTTCTGTTGTCCTTGTCTTAGGGTTTGTATGGTAACAAGTCAGAGCGAGGTCTGTGTTAGGCTATGTCGATTTCTGTGGCTACAATTTTGTGATTGTATTGTAATTGTCCTTGCTCCAGATCCTTAAAGTATACGTCTCAGTCGGAGATGGAGAAAGAAGGCTGGACTAGATGACAGAGTGCTGTACTTGGGACAGCTTGGGTCCATTTTCTGTTTCTGTGTGACCTTGAACAGGTTCCTTAATTTACTTTGTGCCTTTGTTCCCTTGTTGTAAAGCTAAACTAATCCTTCAAGATATCATAATGGTTTTGCGAGGATTAAATCTAATGACTGCGGGGTATTTAAATGTTGTGGCAATGAGGGAGATGGGATTACCTATATACATGAAAAGGACCATGTTTATGATCCAGCATGGCAGTTGCAATGCTTTTATGATAAAATGTCTTTTTATATAATGCTGGCAAATAAGAAATGTATGTATGTTTATAATGCTTTTTTGTGGGAATGGGGGAGAACAGGAACAAAATTTAGAGGATGATAGCCTGGCTGTGGGCAAGAGAGAGAAGAACATGGAAAATGTCAGTCTCAGCAAGGATCCAGGATCTTCCAGGAAGAAGAAGGAAACAGGGTGAATCTTCCTTTTTCTTTATGTCTGTTCTTTAAAGGGAATACTCTTTAGAAATGTGATTGAGACCAGAAACACTAGTCCTGCCTTCTCTATTTTATTATTCAGTACTGCAGGTTCCCGTGCTAGTAAGCTCATTAGGTATCAGTTAACTTCTAGTCAACAGACATAATGTTTAATTTGGACAGGTTTTAGAAATCTCTTTGAGGAACGATGATTTAATTACCTTTCTTCTGTCTGGGAAAAAAGGTATAGTTACATAACGACTTTGCAGCTGCTGGGATTAGAGGAGGGCACAGAGGCCAACAATAAGGACGTGGTCATGAGGAAAGGAGCGTATTTGTCTGTCCTTTACTTACGTCACCTGAGAATCAGAGAGCTAAAGGTAAAAATACAGGCCCATATTGGCATCATTTATTTTAGGTCAGAGGTAAGATCCAATCACATGTTTTATTTTTGCTTTATTTCAGAGGGTCTGCTTGGGAGTCCTGAACTATTTCAGATCTGTTGAGCGTTCCCTAACCATTAGCACCTCAGGTCTCTTGGTTAATGCTGGTAACCTTGTCCCCAGTGCTGAAGATACCTGCTGGGTAAATGCTGTCAAAGGAGGCATTGGTATGTCTGGTGGTCTTGGCTCTCATCACTATGTCCATTATACACCAGCTGATTTCAAGGTGAGGTCATGCATTCAGTATCTCGGCATTCAGTAAATGGAGGTACATAGTATATTAGTTATCCCCCTAATCTCTGCCTTTCCACAGCAAACCAGACTATGCTAAATTGCTGAGTCATCCAGCAGGTTGTGTTTATTCTGCTCCTTGGATGCTTTTCCCTATCCTTTGTTTATCTCTTTCAGGACTACTTTTCAAGCCATTTCCAGCAGCTGCCTTCTGAACCTGAGCTACCAGATAACAGCATCTTTTCTTAGGGCCTTGTTGTACGGTCATTTTAGGTGACTTCTGGAGCTGTTAACCCCTGGGTTAGCTGCACATTAATACCTTTTGTGTGGTTTAAAGCACTTGTTATTCAGATCAAAGTTATGCCACTTTAGGGCAGAATTATCTCTAATTTGCATAACCTTGCTCCTGTTTCATTAAGGTGTTGCCACTCCCCACAGCTATTCCACCAAAGTTGAAGTCTTTCAGTATTCCAGGATGATCCAGGGTTGTGGTGCTCACTCTGCCTACTCTACACAGGAGTAGCAAGCCAGTCTGGGTGGCATAGGAAGCCAGTGTGGTCACTGGGTTGCCAGGGATGCTCCAGCCACCTTTTACCACCCCCAGATTGAAAGATTTAGGGGACTCAAAGACAACACAAGGAACATTATGGATACGTTACTGAGTATCACCTCTGCCTGGGGCTGTGCACAGCTCCTAGTCCTGTCTCTGCTCATCAGGTTTCTAGTGGCAAGTCACAGCTGTGCAGGCAATGGACAGACAGAGAGCTTTTCGCCTTAAGGTGTGACTGCTCCACTAAACCAAACAACACTAAGTCAATTAATATTCATGCAGCTTACAGTATGAGATATAACAAGGCCCTTATTTCTCTTCAAATGTGGAATCTCAAATTCAGCAAGAGTCCAGGCAACACAGTCTGTTACCACTGACAGTGCTGAGGTCTGTTATCTGACTAAAACTGGCAGCATTTAGCCAATGCTTTCTAATAGGACTCTCAGTGTTTGCTTCTAGCTTTGAAGCACCTGAGATGCCAACCATTAATACAATGACATTGTGATGTATGAAAGGCTGTTGATGTCACTTCTGGAGATTTCTAAAATATATTTCTTTCATTTTTAGTTTTTGAATCATCCCCTGAAGTCTTTGTGGTTGGAATGATATGACTAAGATACTTACCTTTGCACATTGGAAAAGCAGTTCCAACAAATTTGCAAGCCTTTTCAAACTTTGGTAAAAGAGTGCTTTTCTTCCTGCTGTAATGTAAAAAATACATAACCACAAATATATTTAAAACCTGTTTGGGATAAGCTGTATCATTTGTTTGTGGCTGTATTATTTACAATGCATTATCCCAAATTCATCCTGATAAAACCCTGATGCAGTATCATAGCATGCTATCTTGTGTTTCTCAGACACACTGAATAAATTATATGTTCTTTATTTGTCTGAAATATTGACTCTTTTTTGCTGAAGAGACACCTTATAAGGTCACTTAAATGGTGTGGCTCACATCAGGGTTTGCATTAGAGTTGGATAAGAAACTTAAATTTCGACATTTTTCTCATCCCAGATTTGGAAAGAAAGAAAGAAGCCTGGAAAATTTTGGTTTGGATCAACCAGAATATTTCATTTTTATTATTTCAATTTTTTTTCCTTGAAATAATTTTTATTTTTTTAAGGTTAATTACTTCAAGCTTCTAAATGTACAATTCCTTTGAACCAAAAACCAGACCTCAGCATTTTCTAATTGGGGAAAAAAAAGGGACATTACACATCCAGGGGGACATTACACCCCAAGTGACCAGGGTGTGAACTAACAGGGGCAGTAAATAGGGAAGGCAGTTTGCAAACAGTTCTCAGGTCAGTTTGCTCCCCCTTCACTTTGAAGGGAAGCCTTCAAGCTTGGTGAGAGGAAGCAGGGAAAAAGCAACCTTTCGGGACCAAGGAGCAGTAAACAGATCAGCTTACAGGCGAGTTTGCTAGGGAAGGTCTATTTGGATGAAGGGCAGAAAGAGAGAGGCAGCAGATTAAGAGACCCAGAGAAATGGCTGGAGGATGTTGCAATGCCAGAGCCACTGCCTCTGCTTGTGCCTCTTGGGGGTGCAGTGGTGGCAATCCAGCCATATGAAGCCTGACTGGCAGCTGTAGTGTGGCTCTGGCTGGCCAGGATCCAGTTTCAGGCGGTGCATGCTACAACCACATATGTTGCCCTGCTTTTTTTAAACTGCTTTTTTTTAGGATATTGGGATTTCCTGGCATCTAATTTTAGCTCCATGCTGCAAATACACAGCTTAGAAAACCTTTTTATGTGTGCCATGTGTGTTTTGTAGCAAAAAAGCCCTTGAGGCACCGTAAAACACGTGTATGTGTGTTTGGATGCACCCTCTGTGGCACACTGAGTAAGAGTTGCCGCTTTGGGTGGCTTGATCAACAGTGGACGTTCTGCTATGAGATTTATGCTGTTTGGGCTTCTGCTCTGCCTCAGTAGTTCTCCACTTATAGACTGTAGCTCCAGTATGGATGAGGCTTCACCAGGTACAACTGTCATGAGTGAGATTTTCCTAAGACTTCGGGTCAATGTTGAAACATTTCAAGGATGATTTAAGAGAGTCCTTGAAATGTTTCTTCTGGCCTCTGTGAGAGCACTCTTCCTTCTGTAGTTTACTGTAGAAGATCTTCTTTGGCAGTTGCTCATCTGACATCCTGGTGACATGGCCTGCCCATCTCATCTGTGATTTCATCAACAGAGTGTGGATGCTTGGAATGCCTGCCCATGTGTGAACTTCAGTGTCTTCAATCTTGTCTTGCCCTTTTATCATCATCAGTTTCCTCAGACAGCCCATGTGAAAGTGGTTCAGCTTCATAGCGTGGCACCTGTACACCATCCAGGTTTCACATGCACAATGGCTTTGTAGACTGTCAGTTTAGTTTGTTGACCAATGCCTTTGTGCTCCCACACATTTGCACGTAGTCTGCTGGAGGCCACACTTGCTTTGGCAATTGTGGCATTGTTTTCATCATCGATGTGAACTGTGCATTACAGTGTACTGCTGAAATAGGTGAACATGTCCACTGCCTGGAAGGTTTGGTCATTCACTGTGATGGTAGGCTCTACATAAGGTTTTCCTGGTGCAGGCTGGTGCATCACTTCTGTCTTCTTAGTGTTGATTGTGAGATCAAAGTTGTCACAAGCTGAAGAGAAATGGTCCATATTCTGTTGCATATCGGACTCAGATTTGGCATTCAGGGAACAGTCGTCAGCAAACAGAATGTCATGAACAATCACTTCCTGTAAAGTTATCTTTGCCTGTAGTGTCCACAAATTGAAGAGCTTGTCATCAGTCTAGTATCTGATGTCAATCCCAGTGTCACAGTCACAAAAGGTGTCTGTAAGCATGGCAGAGAACATCCAACAGAAGAGGGTTGGGGCCAACACACAACCTTGCTTGACTCCACTGGTGACTGGGAATGGTTCAAATGACTTACTATCATCCACAATGCAAGCAAGCATGTTGTCTTGGAATTGCCGAACCGTTGTAATGAATTTCTCTTGGAGATCAAATTTTGCCATGATCTTCCAAAGCTTCCCTCCCCTCCCACCCAACTGACTATATCAAATGCTTTTGTTAGGTCAGTGAAGATCATGTACAAGTTGGAGATTTGTTCCTGGCATTTCTCCTGAAGTTGATGAGCTGCAAACACCATGTCTATGATCCCGTGCCTGTTCCTGAAGCCACACTGACTCTCAGGCAGGAGCCCTTGTTCAATAGAAAATAGATGTGTATCTTTTTACTTCTGGGGTATAATTTCTTCAGTCCACATTGACTGGAAGAGTTCAGTCAGTTTCAGAGCCATGTGAAAGCCTCCAGCCTTGTAGGCCTCTGCTGGTATGGCATCGGCTCCAGGTGCTTTGCTATTTGACAACAGGTTAATTGCTTTCACAATCTCAGTCAGCATTGGAGGATCAGCAAGAGGTATGCTAATGTTTACCTGGGGCAGTCAATCAGTTGTCTCCTCACTAACAGATGATTGTTGATTGAGGATGTTGTTGAAGTGTTCTGCACATCTTTGCAGTATCTTTCCTTTGTCAATGGGCATCATGGTGCCATCAGCACTCAGTATTGGAGATGTTCCTGATGATGACCATGGCTTGTAGAGCATTATAAAAGTTTTTCATATCCTTCCTGTCTGTGTAGGACTGAATCTCATCTGCCTTGTTGCTCAGCCATGAGTTTTGCATCTCTCTGAGTTTGCATTGGACATTTCTTCTTGGATATTGAAGTGCTGTCTTCTAAACAGGTCTTATGGAGCTGATGTTTCTCATTCAGTAGTCTCCCTATGTCAGTATTGTTTTCATCAAACCTATCTTGATGTTTACACGTGGTGGGACCCAAGGGTATTGGATGCAGCTAAATACACAGCATCTCTGAAGGATGCTTAATTTTCCTCAATGTTACTGGAGTTCACATTCTTATTAGTTGCCTGCACAATTCTTCAACAAATGCCTTTTTCATATTCTCCTGTTTCAATTTGGAGACATTGAGCTTTTGGGTGCTTTTTTGTCTTGTAGTCGTCTACTAGTATGTATCCAGATATTCAGCTTGGAGACTATGAGCCTGGCGTCAGTACAGCATTCTGCACTTCTGATGTCCTTTGTCATTCTGACATCCTGTCTGTCTCTTTACTTGATTATGATCTAATCAATAAGAAGCCAGTTTGGAGCGTGGGTGTATCCAAAATGCCTTGTTGCAGTTTGGCAGGCAGAAGACTGTGTTGGTGATGCAAAGGTTGTGTTTAGCACATTTCCTTAGTAGGAGGAGCTCGTTACTGTTGCACTTCCCAAGGCCATTTTTTCTGATGATGCTTGGCCATGTCTGGTGATCAGAGTGTATTTGTTGTAGGAAAAGAAGATGTACATTACATGGAAAGGAAGAACAGGCATTGTCTAAGAAAAAGATAACAAGTAAATACAGCAGCAGCCATGCTCTTTTTTTTAAAAGAGGAGTCTGCATTGCTATAGTTATATTAAGGACTAGTTTATGTTTGGAAATTTTACCACTGTCATTGTATGGGTTTAATTATACTCCAGTTGATATATTGCTATGGTTTTATACTGGTTTAAATCCTTATGTAGACTCTTATTCCAAACTAAGGAATTTTTACATGGAACTCAAACTGCTTTGACAGCCAGCACTGCTCTAATTTGTTCCAGTAGGAAGTGTATGCCAGGGGTATTATTGATCAATATTGACTAGAGATACAGTGCCATGATAGATAATGTAGCTAGTTCTTTTAAAAATGAGACTGATTTTAGAGAAATAAGACCCATAAATTAATGTCAAACTATTCTATTATTAGAATGCCCACAAATTAGAAATCAGTGTACTCCATATGCATCTCAATCAATAGGTTCCTTCATAACTCAGTCACAGATTGCTAAATCTTTGCCTGTCTGCAGCTTCTATCTAACTCACAGAAGCCATTACTCAACAAAGTAGTGCTTGATTAGGAAAGATGACACGGAAACAATAAATAAGAAAATATGAATTTTTTATTTTATTGTTCTTTAAACTTGTGGACTGCCTGCTTAAAGCTTGTTTCTTTTCCTAGATGTGTAAAGTGTCACAGGACTTGTGGTACAACAGTCAGTTTTATAATATCTCTTGGGATTTGCTATTGCACAGGTCCACAGTGCAAAGTTCATGGAGTTTTTGGAGGTGGAAAACCATGATGACTTTTACACTGCAGAAGATGGATGCATTCACACACAGGACCAACGAGGGGCTTACATCATGTATGACTTAGCTTTAAAGGACCTGAAAGAGCTTGAAAACCAGCTGCTGCTTGTAGCAAGCCAGTACATTGAGAAAGAGAAAAGTAAGATGTTTGTAAACCCATAAGTGTGGTTAGCACAAGTCCAGTTTGATTTCCTGTTTCCAAGCTATGAGTTCTTGAAATGTGACTGTAGATGCTGTTTATACAGATCTCTCTTCTGGGTAACCATCTGGAGTCTTCCTTAGTACTTCTATCCATCTTCATACCAGATCCATTGCTGTGGAATTTCAGCACTTATTGCTAGTGTTCCATCAACACAGTGTCTTTAAAAGTATTTACCAGTAATCCATTAGAACAGGGGTATCAAATGCACCCCTCCTTACAGGCTGGATCTGGACCGTGGGGCTCCTCATGAGTTAGTTGGATCCAGATATTGTGGTGGTGGCAGCGCACATGGCAATGATGTAGGGGTTAATGCAGCCATTGCTTCCTCCCAGCTGCTGAAATGATCCCCCAACAGGACTTGGTAACCCTGGTTTCAGTGGCATCTCTGCTTCTGTGCTCCCCACTCCTGAATTCTCAGCCCCTGTGGTGCCCCATGGGCCAGATAACATGCCTCCATAGGCATACATCTGACACTCTTGCATTAGATGGAGGGGGGATAGCTAATAACTAGGGACCTACTCAAATCATGATTTTGTGGAAATCACGAAATCAGGCGATCTCCGTAAAACTCGTGGGGAAAAAAAACTTACTAAAAATAAAATCCTGGTTCCCCAGTGGGAGCCAGCAGTCTTCCTGGCCATGCAGCCCACTGTGGCGGAAGAGGGGAGGGGGACTGCTGGCATGAAGGTGAGCCCGCAAGATGACTGCTGCTCCTGCCCTTTGCTGCTCACTGGCTGACAGGACTTGCCCTCTCTAATCAGCAGCAAGGGGTGGGGCTGCATGACAGATGGCCCTCGGCCAATCAGCAGGGAGGATGGGGCCATATGATGGACAGCCTTCTCCACCAGTTAGCGGTAGGGGGCAGGGCCGCTGGGGACCCTGAGCAAATCAGAGGTGTGGGGTGGGGCCCGCCATGATAAGCCCATAAAAATGGTGGCCAGCCCTGCAATCTGCCCATGAAATTGGCTGGCTACCTCCTCAAATTGGGTAGGCCCCTACTAATAACGGAAGGAAAATAACTGCAATTATTGGTCTGAGGGTGAAAAGGTGCAACTTCTGGGAACTTATGGGGGAACAGGGGGTAAAGCTAATGGAGGAAGTTTCCTTCTTGCAAAACAGCTGAGCTACCTTACCAGCTGCATTATGTGCACCTTGAGCCACTCAGAATGTACTCTCAGAAACAAAACTTCAGACCACTTCGTATATTTTCAGCATACAAAATGAAATTGGTATTGCATCTATTGCAACAAATAGTCTTGTGGGAGGAAGGGTTTGAAACAGGATAAAAACATTTCCCCTTCTTAGTAGTTTATTTTGTAATTACCTTATTGCAAGGTACCTTGAGGGCAGTCAGTGTAGTCTTACCTTCTGAAACTAGGACTGATTTTTGGACTAATGATTAACTATTTCCAATCATTTTGCTTGACTTACCTTTTGTTGTCAAACCAACCTTAATCTTTAAACTTAAGGGTGGTGCCATTTCCAAATGGAGAATAAGCAAAACTAATCAGGCAGACAATCTGAGGCTTAAAGATATCTTTTGAATTTACCTTTGAATTTATTTGGAAGTGAAAAATGTGGCCATGCAGCTGGAATCATTGCACGATGTCTTAAACTAACTATGAATGAAACCCTCTACTAACAAGACAGTGCATTGCTCCAGTAGTATAAAGAGCTCTCTGCCCTGCCAGGAGCATTATGAGCTACACAGGCAGGTTTTCATTGAGCAGGTTTTTGTTAAACTCTGGGTTGAGGAAGCAGAGAATTAAACATTCAATCTTCTCGCAGACTGTCAGGGGTACTTTATTAGACATCTTGGGGCCCCTCTGTTCTTACTGCTTCCAGTATTCAGAGACCTCAGAAATCCTCATTTTGACGTTGCACTCTTTACTATCATATTTAAATACACACTGATGGACCTATCCTCCATGAGTGGATCCAGTTCCCTGCTGAACCTGGTTAAATTCTCAGACTCCACAACATATGGTGGCAATGAGTTCCACAAGCTGATCACACGCGGTGTGAAAAAGAACTTCTTTTTGTTTGTTTAAGGGGATTTGGTAACAGTCATCAAATACTTGAAGGGTTATAAAGAGGAGGGTATAGACTGTTCTTTGGCTGCAGGGAACAGGGTAAAGAGCAACACTTAAATTGCAGCAGCAGAAATTTAGGTTGGATATTAGGAAGAACTTTATTGCTATGAGGATGGTTAATCATTGGGACAGGTTACTTGGGGTCTTTTATGCAAATTACACTTAAGATGCTTTAGCTGCGCTTAAATCACAAGTGTCTATGCATTCAAGCAGTAAACACATGTTAAGTACAATTATATCATAGCAAAGTTGGGCCTTTTTTAGGAGAGGAGTATCTCCAGATTGTATGAATATGTGTGTACTGGCGGTGGTAATATGGGCTGAGCTGCCAATCACTGGGGCAGCAGCTGAGGGTTGCCAAGGCAGCTGAGTGGGTCAGCTGACTGCCAGGGGCAGGGCCGGGCCTTATATAAATAGCAAGGCTGAAGCCTGGTTAGAGGGGTTACCATCTTGCAGCCTGAGAAGTAGGAGCTCTGCTGAGGAACAGAGCAGGGCAGTTCCCTTCTGGCAGCCTGAGGGGTAAGAGCTTTGCGGGAGAGCTAAGCCAAGCAGTGCAGCCTGAGCACCCAGAGGGCTGCATGATGGTCAGGGTGAAGAGAGGCCTGACCAGGAGGCTGTGGGCCAGAGAGCCAGGTGGGCCTGGACTTTATGTTGTGGCCGGTAGGCTTATTGTTTTGTTATTGCCAGTGGGCCTATTGTTTTGTTACAGCTGGGTGGGCTTATGGTTCTGTTGTGTATATCGTCTGGAGGACCGGGTGAGGCTGTAGGGGTGTGAGGAGGCCTCACAGGAGATCCCCAGTAGTCCGGGGGTTTCCTGGGTGCCCTGTGCGGGCACCGAGCAGTGCCGGGAAGCGGCAGCTTGGCACCGGTGCGGTGTGTGGGTTTGAGGCCCCAGCCCGAGAGGGCAGTACTCGGCCCAGTGAGGGCATAGGACCCCGAGAAGGGTCAGGGGGCCAGGCACGGCCACGTGCCACCTGAGCCCTGGCGCCGGTGAAAGCCCGAGACAGGGCTGGCGTGTAGGCTTGGAGGGAGCCAAGGGCGCGAGTAGCGCGGGAGCAGGCTTGGAGGGAGCCAAGGGCGTGAGTAGCGTGGGAAGCGCGTGGCATAAGGACCCCGAGAAGGGTCAAGGGGGCCAGGCACGGCTGTGTGCCACCTGAGCCCCAGGTGTGGTTTGGCACGGGACAGGCCCCAGCGAGGGCAAGAGCGCGGGAAGCGCGTGGCATAGGCCCCGGGGGCAGCCTGCAAGAGTGAAGCCTGGGGAGGGCTAGTATAAGATTGGAGCGGCACCGGTTCTGTATAGACGCCCCGGGGAAGGGCGAGCGCGCGGTTAAGGGTCCCGGAGAGGCGCAGGCGCGTGAGTGAAGCCTGGAGAGGGGCGGACGTACAGATCAGGGCCAGGAGGAGAAGGGCGTGCAAACAGGAGCCTAGAGAGGGCAGGGCGCGTGGGTAAAGGCCCGGAGAGGGCATAGATCAGAGACACAAAAATGGCCGGAATAGCTGTGAGGCTTGGGGTGTGCTAAAGGGGAGGTAGGAGGCACGCGTAGCCCATAAGGCTGGGGTGCACCAAGTCACCCATAGAAATTAGGAGACCAAAGGCAGCCTCCCATATTAAACTATATAAGAGCAAAGACGTGGCGGGCGAGAATCTGAGGGTGCTGGGTCTCCTAATTTGGCATGGCAGGGGGCACTAGCGGGCTCACGGCCGCTCCTAGGCCCCACCCCATGACAATGTGTTTAGTTATCATCTGAATGCACCACAGAGATAATACCAACACAGGTTGCTGGTTGATGGTCCTGACCCTAGCACTGTGCCAGGGTCTTGAATGGGCTCCAGGGTGCACCCCCATGCATCACCTATATGTTCAGAGCGGTATCCATTGCAATTCCAAGATCTCTTTCCTGATTAGTATCAGAGAGGCCATTATCATGCAGGTACAACCCAAATGATCTTTTTCCCAAGTGCCTTAGCTAATTACCGATCCAGAGGTGGACTTTCTTTCTAATGACAGGCTCATTTAATTAAAAACCTTTAGTGTGGGATTTTGTCAAAAGCTTTTTGGAAGTCCAAATACCTTGTATCATCCATGTGCTTGTAATATCCTGAAAAAACCCTACTAGGTTGGTGAGGTGTGGCCTCCCTTTATGAAAGACACGTCGATTCTTCCCCAGCAAGTCCTGTTTATCTGACAAACCTCTTTTATACTGTAGTTTCTACCAGTTTGCCAGGAATAGAAGTTAGCTTCACTGGTCTGTAGTTCACTGGATCAAACACTGTAAAAATGTTATTTTGGCTGCCCTTTAGTCCTCTGGCTTGGAGGCTGTTTTTAGTGATAGGCTACATACTAAAATCAGTCGATCTGCAGTTTCAAGTTTGAGCTCCTTCAGGACAATTGGGTGAGTACCATCTGGTCCTGGTGATTTGCCACTGTTTAGTTTATCAATTTGCTCTATGACCCCATTTACTGACACCTCAGTTTAAATCGGTTCTACCTATTTGTACCCTAGAAAGAGTGGCTCCAGTATGGGAATCTTCCTTAAGTCTCCCATGGTGAAGACTGATGCAAAGAATTCATTCAGTTCTTTCTGAAGTGGCCTTATCCTCCTTAAGTGGCAAATTTACTCCATGATTATCCAGTGGCCCGGTCGACTCCCTGCCAAGCTTCCTGCTTCAAATGCATTTAATAATATTGGGTAAATCTGATATTTTTTATTAGAGCAACTGAAATAGTTGGAAAAATTCTTCTCAGCAAGCTTTCGGATTTAAATGTCCTTATCAGGCTGGAATGATCCAGGAAGATCTGGATCCACCAACTGCAGATACTTCCTCAGCCTGATGAAGGTATTTAAACCCAAAAGTTTGCTAAAAAGTTTTCCAGCTGTTTGAGTTAGTCTAATAAAAGATATCAGATTTACTCAAAGAAACTTGTCTGCCTATGTCCTTAGACCAACACAGCTACAGCCTACACCCCTTTAATAATATTATGGTTTATGTCTCTAGCAAGTTGCTCCTTGAATTTTTTTTTTTTGTTTTGGTTTGCCTTATTCTATTTTTACATTGAATTTGCCAGGATTTTCGCTCATTTCTATTTCTTCCCATTTAGATGCAGCTTTCATTTCTTGAACGAGAGGTTATCCAGAGAGTGTTTTTACATGGTCTTTGTAGAGATGTTGTAGGGAAAATAAAGAGAGTTTATAGAGGGGAAACCTGTGTAGGAATAACCTCTTGTATCATGAGAAACTGCTTTCTCTCTCTCCCTCTTCTTTAATAGAAGGCCTTAAAACAAAGTTAATAGGCATCTAATATAGATGCTCTGTGGAAGAAAACTTACTGCACTGTTCTTCTTTTGTTCTTAGGCCATGTAATGTGCGGCAGTCAGCCCAGTGACAGCAACCTTCTAGGCTGGGCTCATGCATCTGTGGATCGATTTGCTGTGCTGCTTGACCTCTGGACTTGCGAGACCACTCTGTTAGAAGATAAATGCCAGGTACATTTTATTTTTTCTTGTGATGAGTGAACTCTGAAAGCTATTATTGCAGCTCGGATAATGTCCTCTGCTTATTAAGTTTATTTTTTAGTACTCTTTCCAAATGGAAATGCACACCGATGACAACCTACTATTATTGGTGAAGTTGGAGAACATAAAAGAGGTGGTATCTGTAACTGTTCCATGGATGTTTCCTGTTCTGCATCCCTTGGCCATTGCTAAATCTATCAGTGAACAAAATGCCATGGATTAGTGCAAAAGCTGGTATCAAGTTTTTGGCGAATTTGCTGGCTGGATTGACTTAAACTGACCTCTTGCTTGCCATATACTCACAGGCCAGTATTAAAGTAGGTTTGCAAGTGTGCTGTTAACTAAAGCTGTTGGAAAAATGGAAAATGAAGTACCAGAAGTTTGCAAGAAGGTGTAAGGCATCAAGTGCAAGTGGATGCATGCAGAGTTCCTTACCCAAATGTTTGCAGTCTGGATGAAAAATTAGATCGGAGTTTAAGAAGAAAGGAGAACGATGACCTATTTTTATGTACGTGGGGGTGGTGATTAGTCTTGGGCTGTTAATGCCTGGAGCCAAGTGTCAGGGATTGTTAATGGTCGCTTTAGGAGTGGAGCAGGATGGCCATTCGGCCCTTCTCACTTGTGAATTGGTCACATACATTTCATTTTTAGTCCCGGGACACCATCCTTTTTCTACAACAGCAATAGCAAAGAGGGAATTGTGGGAGGTGTGTACCATTCAAGGAGGAGTTAGTTTCAGAGTTTTTTTTTCTATTTATTACATATGGTTTTATACAACTATGGAAATACTCTTAAGCCGTGTGTGTGTGTGTGTGTGTGTGTGTGTGTGTGTGTGTGTGTGTGTGTGTGTGTGTGTGTGTGTGTGTGTGTGGGGGGGTGGGGGGGTCTTACCCAATCTATACGAGGAGAATGGAGGACTTTATTTCC